CCACTCAGATCCTTCCTTCCTCCCTCAGGACCACCCAGACAGGACCCTCTTCCCCTGGGACCACCCATGGGGTTTCTGTCCCCACCACCCAGATCTCTCCTTCCTCTCCCAGGACCACCCAGAGAGGCCCATCTTCCCCTGGGACCACCCATGGGGTTCCTGTCTCCACCACCCAGATCCTTCCTTCCTCTCCCAGGACCACCCAGACAACACTCTCTTCCCCTGGGACCACCCATGGGGTCCCTGTCTCTACCACCAGCACCAGCATAGGCCAAACGTCATCGGGAGTCATTAGGCTGGGGACCACGACCATGCACCTCACCTCCCCTGAGACCACACAGAGATACACTGTCCCCACTACCCAGACCCTTCCTTCCTCCCCCAGGACCACCCAGACAGGACCCTCTTCCCCTGGGACCACCCAAGGGGTTTCTGTCTCCACCACCCAGAGCCTTCCTTCCCCTGCCAGGACCACAGAGAGGGTCTCCAGCCCCAGTCCCTCTGCCTCCCCGGGGACCCCAACCACCACCACCACCACCAAGCCCACCTCACCCCGTGCACCCACCACGGTCCCCGAGGTGACCTCCAGACCGTGGACCTCCCCCGGGTCCCCGCCCAGCACGGCCACCTTCGGGACCACGCTGCTCTCCACGCCCCCGCTGCCCAGCTCCACCACACACAGCCCGGCCACCTCGTCCTCCACGGGCTGCAGCCCACGGTGCACGTGGACAGACTGGTTCGACGAGGACTACCCCATCCCGGGCCTGGACGGCGGGGACTTCGAGACCTTCTCGGTTTTCCGCTCAGCGGGCCACGACTTCTGCCAGCGCCCCCAGGACATCCAGTGCCGCGCGGAGAGGGCGCCGCACGCGCGTCTGGAGGACCTGGGGCAGGTGGTGCACTGCAACGTGAGCTTCGGGCTGGTGTGTCGCAACCGGGAGCAGCCGCGACCCCCGCGCTACTGTGACAATTACCACGTGCGTGTGCTCTGCTGCGAGGACGACGGCCGCTGCGCCAGCCCCACCGCCCCTGAGCCCACCGCGCCGTCCCGGGGGACGCCTGTGCCCGAGGCCACCAGCTCTCCGCCCAGCAGCACCTTGGGCTTCTCCACGGCCGCCTCCAGGGCCTCGGCACCCCACACCTTGCAACCAGTGACAGTGAGCGCCTCGTCCCTGTCCGTCCTCACCACCCCACGGCCACCCGTGTCTCCCAGCGGCAGCCTCACCACCCGCTGCTTCTGCCGGGCGCTGGGGCAGCTCTTCTCCCCGGGTGAGTGCAGGAGCCGCATCCCCCCTACCCCGCCCCGGGCACTCCGTAGCTGACTTGTGGGTCCACCCTGTGCCTCCTGAGCTATCCGGAGCTGACCCTGCTGTGTCGTCTTGGTGACTGTCTCCTCACAGGGGACATCGTCTACAACAAGACGGACAGCGCGGGCTGCTCCTTCTATGCCGTCTGCAACCAGCACTGTGACATTGACCGCTTCCAGGATGCCTGCCCTACGTCCTTGCCCCCGGAGGCCTCCTCGACCCCAGCGGCCTCACCCTCCCAGCCTCAGGGCTGTGACCTCATCACCCCTCCCCGACAGGTGTGCCTCCTGCCTGTGGCGCAGCTGGCCCAGGTCCTTGTGGCCCCCTTGAGCCCTCTCCGGGGCTGGAGGATGGCACTCGGGGTCGGGGCCGGGACGGCACCGCGGGAGGCCGGGATGCAGGGCCACATCCCGGGCAGGGAGGGCCCTGGGGCCGTGGCAGGGCTGTGGGGCAGGTTCCGTGGTCCCAGCCAGTGAGCCCTGCGCCCTTCTCTCCCAGGTGAATGAGTCCTGGACCCTGCCAGACTGCACGGTGGCTCGCTGTGAGGGCCACAACCATGTGGTCCTGTTGGGGCGGAAGCCGGTGGCCAGCATCCACTGCGTGAACGGACACCCACCGGTCAGAGTGTCGCAGGACAACGAGCCGTGTGATTTCCACTTTGAGTGCGAGTGTAAGTCTGGGCATGGCGAGGGCGGCCGCTGCGGGCAGAGGGCACTGGGGGACTCGCCAGGGGCCAGAGCCGCGGTATACAGCGCCAGCCAGAGACGGTGACACGCATCACAGCCGGGGATGGCCCAGGTTTGCGGAGACCACATGCACGGCAGCCTCTGTGGCTGGACGGGGCACTGGGCTGGGGGCTGCGATACCCGGGTTTCCCGAGTGTCCCTCCTGGAGCTTCTGCGGGGAGCCCTTCTGGCCCAGCGTCTGGATGGCGTGGGGCTCAGGTTCCCAGAGGAAGCAAGGGCCACATCCGGGGGTCGAAACACCATCAGGGACCGACTGTCCCTCCGGAGGCTGCAGGGCGGCCTTCCTGCCTTCCCAGCTTTGGGGCTCCAGGCGTCCCAGGGCTTGTGGCCACTCTGCTCCTGCAGGGACACCTGTCACTAGGTTAGGGCCGCCTGGGTCATCCAAGACGGCATCATCCTGACGTCCTTAACCTACTGACAGACATGAAGGTCTTTTCCCAGACAGAGGGCACATTCTCAGGGTCTGGGTGGGGCTGGGGACTTGCCTTTGTGGCCACCATGCAACCCACTCCAGCCCCTTTCATAAAAAAGGCAAACGGGGTCCCGGGCGGCTGGGGGGCTCCCCTGAGGTGGCTGTTTGGGGTGGCGCTGGGTGACCCCACAGGCTCCTGCAGCGGCTGGGGGGGCTCCCACTACACCACCTTCGACGGCACGTCCTACTCCTTCGCGGACAACTGCACCCACGTGCTCATGAAGGAGATCCGCCCACGCTACGGGAACCTCAGCATCTCCATGAACAGCTACTACTGCGGGGCCGCTGCCGCCCCCACCGCCTGCCCCCGCGCCCTCAGCGTCCACTACAAGTCCATGGAGGTCATCCTCACCACCCGCACCGGCGCCCGCGGGCAGGAGCAGAGCCTGGTGAGCGGCCCTGTCCCGCCATCACCGGGGAGGGCCTGCGGGCACCGAGGCAGCTCCCAGAGGCCCCTCAGGCAGGGCCAAGGGCACGCATGATGCCTCGGGGACCCCAACATGGCCGACTGGGACCCCAGGCTCCAGGGGGAGCATCTGCCCTTTGGGGGAGGGGTGCCAAGGATTCGGGGCCCCAGCAGCCTGTCACAGACCCCACACGTCCCCAGATCCTGTTCGACCAAACGCAAGTGGGCTCGGGCTCCAGCAAGGACGGCGTGAGCGTGTCGGTGACGGGTGCGACCACGATGACCATCGACATCCCCGCGGCTGGTGTGACCGTCACCTTTGACGGGCAGGTCTTCCACATCCAGCTGTCCTACAGCCGTTTCAGCCACAACACCGAGGGCCAGTGCGGTGAGCGGGTACTGGGAGACGCCTGGGCCGCCGCTGCCCAGCACGGGGGCGGGCAGGGGCGGAGGGGAGCGGAGGAGGGTGACCCCGCCGTTCTGCCACCCAGGCACCTGCACCAACAGCCGGACGGACGACTGCCGCCGGCCAGACGGCACCACGGCCGCCACCTGCCAAGACATGGCCCACCACTGGCTGGTCCCCGAGAGCGGCCGCGAGGGCTGCTCGGCGCCTACCCGCCCGCCCCCGACAGCGGGAACCTCGCCCTCCGCGCCCACCACGCCCGCCTCGTCCCCATGCCCCCCCGCGCCCCTCTGCGAGCTGCTGTGGAGCCCGTGAGTTGCCCCTGAGGGTCTGTTGCGTGTGGGATGGCTGCCCGCCCCCACCCGTCCTCTGACCGCCCCTTTCTGCAGGCTCTTTGCGGAGTGCCGTGCCCTCATCCCCCCGGACCCGTTCGTCAGCTCCTGCGACAGTGACGGCTGCCAGGCCGACGGCTCCCGAGCGCCTTGCCGGAGCCTGGAGGCCTACGCGGCGCTCTGCCGTGCCCGGGGCGTGTGCAGCGACTGGCGGAATGCCACCAACGGGCTGTGCGGTGAGTAGGGCGGCCCCGGGGACTTTGGCCTCCTCGGCCCACCTGACTCCAGTCCCTGTGTCCCCAGACTTCACCTGCCCGCCCGACAAGGTGTACCAGCCGTGTGGCCCCACACAGCCTGCATCCTGCGACTCCAGGTAAAGCCTGCCTGAGGGTCTGGGGCAGGCCAGGAGGGCGTGCGACACCCCCAGCCTCAGGACTTTCTGCCGCGCCCCCACTCCCCCCCCAACTCCGGGCCCTGGACAGCGGGTCAGCCCCAGTCCTCTGCCATGCCCTCTGCCCTTCCCCCTCGGACGGTCACTTCTACAGATCGAGGGGCCCAGGCATGCCCACCTTGCTTTGCAGGAGCCAGAGCGGAGCGGGCAAGGGGCTGGCGGAAGGCTGCTTCTGCCCCGATGGGCTCACCCTCTTCAACACGCACACGGACGTCTGCGTACACACCTGCGGTGAGCGCCAGCCACGGAGGCCCCACCGGAGCCACCGCAGAGCCGGGGGCAGGCGGCTGGGGTGGGGGAGGCCTGAGCGGGGAGCCACCCCTCCCAGGTGCTCGCACTCCCAGCCCGGCGCCCAACCTGAGGGTGCTGTGTGGCCAAGACACAGGGCCCTTGGCAGGAAGAAGAGCCCTGGCCGGGGGTGAGGCGGCTAGGCCTGCAAGGACAGGTCCCAGGGCCCGTGGTCTCTGCCCGCTGGGTCTGGGACTCCAGCATGCCCACTGACCCCCTTTCTTCTTCCCTTCCAGCCTGTGTGGGACCAGATGGGTTTCCCAAATCCGTGAGTGTTCTGCCCCCTAGCCTGAGCAGAGGGAGGGAGGGCCCTATCTCTGGGCAGCCTGCTCTGCCCGGGCAGCCCCTGTGGGGGACTGGGGTGGGGTACCCCGGTGTGAGACACGTCCCCGTCACGGGGGCTGCGCCAGCGACGGCAGCTCGAGTGGGAGGCCGAGAACCGACCAGGCCACGCTGAGGGCGGGAGCCTTCCCTGCTGCTGGATGTGGCCCCGGAGGCCAGGGCCCAGTCCAGGAGTCTGCAGGGACCCCCACTGCTCTGTTCCAGCCTGGGGAGCGGTGGGTCAGCAACTGCCAGGCCTGCCTGTGCCACGAGGGCTCCATGTCAGTGCAGTGCACCCCCGTGCCATGCGAGCCCCAGGAGCAGCCCCCGCAGTGCGGACGGGCTGGCTTCGTGACCGAGACCAGGCCTCTGGCCAACAACTCCTGCTGTCTGGAGACACTGTGCGGTGAGCCCTGGGCCCCGCCCCCCCGGCCGGAGGGTGACCAGGGGAGAAGGAGGGGCCTGCGGGGCCGAGGTTGGGCTGCCGCCGACCTCCGGTGTGCCGTGGTACAGTGAGGGGACCCAGCGGGGACACAGGAGGCTCAAGCCCTGACGCACCTCGACCTCCCCACAGTCTGCAACACAACCACGTGTCCCCAGAGCCCACCCAGATGCAGGCCAGGAGAGGAGCTGACTCGCGCCCAGGAGGAGGGTGATTGCTGCCCCACCTTCACCTGCCGTGAGTGGGGCTGGGAGCTCGGGGCTGCGGGAGGGTTGGAGCCCTTCCTCCCCACCAGCCGGGCGGGTGCTCAGGCCCCCTTTCCTTCCAGGACCTCTGCTGTGTTACTACAACCAAACCGCCTTTGGGGTAAGGGCTCAGCAGCTGGTGGCTGAGTGGGACGGGCGGCCGTGGCGGGGGGGGGGGGGGGCGCAGCTCAGCCACAGGGGACCTCCGCCTCTCATCTGCGCGGGCCGGCCCTGCCTGCGCCCTCCTCCAGGACAGTGGAGAAGCGTGTGGGGGATCCAGGCCCTTTCGAGACACGTGGGGACACAGGCAAGGGGGACACGGGGACAGCCCTGTGTATTGAGCGCCTGGTGGACTGTTGGCTGCCCCTGAGAAGTTAGCTTCGGGTGTCCCAGGAGCTCCCTCGAGACAAGAGTGTTGGGGTGAGACCATGCCCTCCCAGCCCCTCCAGCCAGCCTGGGGTCCTGCCTCTGCCCTGGTCTGTGCTCAGCCGGGGGCACAAGCATAATTCCATCTGAAGAAGAAAGAACCTGCTCTCTGTAGGCCTCCCCTTCCCCTGGCCCACCCAGCAGCAGGGAGGGGTCCTGGCCCTCGGGCCCCCGCCACTGTCTCAGTGTCGCCTCCACTCTCCCCGTCCACTGCAGATTGGGGCAACCTTCCCATCGCTTACTCCCTGCCACACGTGCACCTGCCTGTCTGGGGACACCCAGGGCCCAATCGTGCAGTGTGAGGAGGACACCTGTAACACTACCTGCCCCCAGGTAAGCCCTCCTGGGCACACCCAGCCCTGGGCAGGGACACAGCTCCGCAGGGGTGGGGGGCTGCCAAGGAGGTCGCTGGGCTCTTAGGTGTGGATGGGAGGGCAGGCGGGCTGGGGGGCAGGGCCGGGGTACTGACGGAACCAACCCCTCCCTCAGGGCTCCGAGTACCGGAAGGTGGACGGAGGGTGCTGTGGGGAGTGTGTGCAGACAGCCTGTCCCACGGAGGACGGCCAGCTGGTCCAGGTAAGGGGGGGTTCGCTCTCAGCCCCTCAGCCCGGCGCCCCTTCCCCTTGGCCCATCTCTGCGAGCCTCCACCCCCCACAACTGCGTTGCAGCCCAACGAGACCTGGGTCAACAGCCCGGTGGACAACTGCACCGAGTACCGCTGCGAGGTCAGGAACGGGCTCCACCTGCTCATCGGGAGGGCCACGCCCTGCGCCAACGTGTCCAGCTGCCAGGTGCGTCCTGCCGCTCGGCCGCCCTGCGGCGGAGGCCCCGCCCGGCACTCCGCAGATTCGCGGCCGGAGCCCCACCACCTCGGAGGCTGCACCCGCAGCGCCTCCCCTGGGAGGCCCCGTCCTCCCCAGACCACACCCCCCGCCCCCCGCAGGCACCCCACCGCCTCGGAGGCCACACCCACCCAGAGCCCCTGCCCCGCCCCCAGCCCGCCCTCTCTCTCCCCCTCCCCCTTCAGGGCATCCTCAGGAAAACGGGCTGCTGCTTCTCCTGTGAGGAAGTGGGTAAGTCGAAGCTGGCGCACCTGCTCTCCAAGCCCCAAGCTGCCCCTGGCCCCCGGGGACCCCACCCTGAGCGCGGGGCTCGGCAGGGTGGCATGGGGGGGCGGCCCCGGCTCGAGGTCCTCAGAGGTGCCCTCCTGTACCGCCCCTGCCTTTCCTCTGTCTGCCCAGACAAGTGCCAGGTCCACATCAACAGGACCATCCTGACCCACCAGGGCTGTGCCACCCAGGCCCCGGTCAACATCACGTTCTGCGGGGGTACATGCCCCGGACTGTCCAAGTGAGAGAGCCCTGCGCCCCTTCTGGGACACCCCTCCCCGCCCCACACTGCCCTGGCTTCGGCCAGGTGTGAGCAGTGGGCGCGGAGAGCAGGGGGACAGTGCGGGGCTGGCTCAAGACCGGGGTGGGTTCCTCCCAGGGGGAAGAGGGTCCTGCCCAGGTCAGCAAGTTCCACGAGTGGTTCCAAGACAAAACAGAGCCTGGTGGGGGAAGGTGGGAGCTCAGTGACCCGAGCCCTGCCCCAGGCCAGGTCAGACACGCCCCTAGTGCTCCGAGGATGAGCTCGGGGCTGCCCAGAGCAGGCGGGGGCCATCGGCTCTAGCCCCCCCACCCCGGGAAGCCAGGAGCTTGGGGGCTGGGGCTGGACCGGGCGGGTCCTGACGGCGGCCGTGCGCCCACAGGTACTCCGTGGAGGCCCAGGCGATGGACCGCCAGTGCACCTGCTGTCAGGAGACGGGGGTTCACGAGGAAGTGGTGACCCTGCGGTGTCCCGACGGGACAGCCGTCCGCCGCACCTACACCCACGTGGACGAGTGCAGTTGTGCCCCGGCCTGTGTCCACTCACCCGAGGTGCCCGAGGACAGCACCCCGATCCTCCTGACCTAGAGGTCCACCACTGTCCGTTGCCATTCTGACCCCCTCCCGCCAGCCCTCCCCCAGTCTGGAGCCAGGACACATACCGCCCAGCCACGGAGAGCTCGGCCAGCCTGCTGCGGGAGCCCAGGCACACCTGCCACCTGGGCCCTCACGGGACCTGTGCCTCAGGGGTGACCCCGGAGGGTGACGGCACAGTGAGGACCTGCTTGACCAGGGCTCCGGGAGGGGACCTTGCCCTCAGAGCCCTTCCAGCACGTCTTGGCCACTGTCTGGCCGTCAGGACTTGCCCCTCACCTGAGACGAGTGTCTGCACTGCCCGGACTCACCCCTTCTTCATGCCAGGAGGATGCCTGGAGCCACTGTGCTGCCCGTGCAGCAGGTGCCTGCTGGCCACCTCCTGCAGTGGGATGTGGGCTGGGGCCTGTCCAGCGGCCGCCAGCTGCCTGCGGGGAGCAGCGTCAGGTCCAGCGTTAGGTCGGAGGGCTGGCTGTCCATGCCCGCGTCTGAACCTGGGCCTGGGGTGACCGTGGCTGCTGGGAGGCAGGCCAGGGAGGGGTCGGTGCTCCCCAGCACTCCCTCTGCCCACCCTGTCCCCGGCCTGCAAATAAACACTGAGCATCGTGTACACTTCTTGGTCCTGGTGTCTTTTCTGCCCACGGAATCCCCTGGGCTTCTCCTCCATCAGGCTATGCAGCACACCCAGGGCTCGTGTGTCCCTCCCCCCAGGAGGGACAGGTGGGATGAGGGGCCCGGAGGCCCTCAGGGTCCATCTCAGGCTGTGGGGCACTGGCTGAGGCCGGGGATGAGCCCAGGGCTTGGAAACGACCCTCTCCATTATTTCACACACAGAGATTTCTAAGGAAGCTGGTTCACTGATGTGGAAAGTTTGGGAACCCCGCGGGAGGCATGGCCACGGCCCAGGTGTGTCCATGCAGGAAGCCGCTGCCTCACAGGCTGGGGGCGCACAGGAGGGGGGGCGCCTGGTGCCGTTCCGGCCCCAGGGAGGCTGCCGGCTGCTGCCATCCCTGCTCTCCCCGCCACGGCTCACACACTGCATTTTCTGCAGGACACTCGTCCCCCCTCAGCTGGCTCTAATCCGGCCGCCTTTTCTCATCTCCCCCAAGGGCGGGGATTTCTCACCAGAGACCTCTACACACACGTGCTGAGGGGCGGGAAGAAGTGGGGAGCAGGTATGGGGTGTGGCCGACAGGACCCCCCACACAGCCCCCGGAAGCAGAAAGCTCCCTGGCTTTACTGGGGGGAAGGATGAGACGTGGCCCCAGTGGGGAGGGGTGGCTTCGGGTGCGGCTGCCACCTGGGGAGGCAAAGGCAATGCCTTTGCTGGTGGAAGCTGCTGGGGCAGGGGGCGGGGGGTGCCGGGGGGGGTCTTCTCCCCTCCCCTGAGTCCCATGACCTGCCTCTGCTCTCAGTGTGGTTCCCATCGTGCGGCCGCTGTAGGGGCTGAGCGCGGAGGGCCTGGGCTCTCTCCAGGCCACGGCCTGCCTTTCCTACCCACCCCACGAGCTCTGGGCAGGGCAGGCCACCCGGGACCTGGCCGGGCTGGCGAGGCAGGCCTGCAATCGTGGCTGGCTGCCCCTCCCAGGGCCGCCTTCTGGAAGCTGAGCCTGGGCCTCCCAGTCTGGTTTCCTGGGGGCTGTGGCCGCGCCCCCACTGAGTCTTTGAAACCAGGTGCAGAACAACAGCCTTCCCCAAGCCTCCCTGCCATTCCCTGGCACAGCCGCTCTGCAGGCGCATGAGCTCTCACCAAACTTAAGTACATCCCTAAGGCCCAGGGGCAGGAGTGTCACGGGCCACGGACTAGGGTGCGCACATACCACGTGCGGCCTGTGTCCCAGGGGAGCTCTCCTCTGACCCTGACAGCACCCCAGGCAACATGTGCTGTTATTTCTCCCGCTTTACAGAGGGGAAACTGAGGCATGCCATGGCAAAAAGCCTTGCTTCAGCCAAGAGTGAAGCCAGGCCCCGTTGCCCTGGAGAAGGGAACTATAAAAACCAACACGGGGCATAAAAACAAAACAGTCACTAAACTTCAAATATTTTTAAAAAGAGATTTCTGGTGTCCAGATGGAAAAGTGGCATGTCCTCCCCCACAGGCACAAAATTTGTCACGATGAAGATAGAAAGAAATTTGAAAATAGAAGAGCGAAATCAAGAAAGTGAACGCAACAGACAAGCCGGAAGAAGGGAGGTTTTGGGGGGTGCGCTAGTGGCGAGCGGGGCCCATGGCCTCAGGGCAACATCTGGATCCACGCGTGACAACAATGACCTCTCAGAACTGAAGGCATGAGCTCGACCGAGAGTCCTTGGCGAGCGCCCAGGAAGGTAAAGAAGGTCATGCGTCCTGGAGGGGAGATCTGAGGGCAGTGAGGCCGGGAAGAGCTCGGACCTGCCAGGGTGACAGGACTTTGCGCCTGCGCCGGCGTGAGATGGGGACCGGCGCCTGGAGACCGCAGCGGGTCACCTCCGTGGTGCTGAGGGCACAGACCTTGAATGTTGAACTCCACACCCAAGTAAACTATCACTTAAGAATGATAATGAAGGGGCGCCTGGGTGGATCAGTGGGTTAAAGCCTCTGCCTTTGGCTTGGGTCATGGTCCCAGGGTCCTGGGATCGAGCCCCGCTTCGGGCTCTCTGCTCAGCGGGGAGCCTGCCTCCTCCTCTCTCCCTGCCTGCCTCTCTGCCTGCTTGTGATCTCTCTGTGTCAAATAAATAAATGAAAAAATCTAAAAAAAAAAAGAAATGTGGTCTCCTGGGTTATTTCCTCAAAGCTTGACAATCCACCTAACTTTTTTTTATGGGTATAAAATATACATAACATAAAATTTACCATCTCGACCATCTTTAAGCGCACAGATTAGCGGTATAAAACACACTCACGCCGTTGTCTGTTCGTCCGTCCGTCCACCCATCCGTCCCCACGATCCCTTTAACTTTGCAAGGTGGAGACTCTATGCACAGGAGGCAGTAACTCCTCATTGTCCCTCCCTGTGGCTCCTGGAAACCGCCCTCAACTCTCAGTCTCTATGATTTTGGCGAGTCTAGTAGCGCAAAGGAGTAGAATCCCGCAGTATTTGTTGTACGGTGACTAGCTTACTCACTGGGCCACGTCTGGTGGGTCCGTCCGAGTAGTAGCAGGCGCCAGAGTCTCCCTCCGCCTACACTGGGTGTCATTCATTCCAGGGTATGTGTGGATCGCGTTCCACTTGCCCCTGGTCGCTGGGGTTGCTCCCACATTTTAGCTACTGCGAATAACGCTGCTGCGAACACACGTGTCTCGTCAAGACCCTGATTTCGATTCTTTTAGGGTCATACCCAGAGGTCGAATGGCTGGACTGTACGGCAGTTCTAATTTTTTGAGGAACTGCCGTACTGTTTTCCACAGCGACTGAATAGGTCTACATCCCTAACAGTGACCGGGGGTTCCAACGTTTCTGCCTCACCCTGCTGGCTACCGTCACACTTTGTGTTACCACAGTCAGCCCAGTGGCCGTGAGGCAGTACCTCACTGTGGCTCCGACTCGCACTTTCCTGATGACCAGCAACGTTGAGCATCTTCACATGCCCCTGTTGGCCCTTTTAGATTCTCTTCGGAAAAATGTCTGTTCAAGTCCTTTGGCTTTTTGAATTGGATTGTTTGGGGATTTTTGTTGTGGAGTATTTTCTGGATGTTCTCTTATCAGATATATGATTTGCATATATTTTCACTCATTATGTGGATTGATTTTTATTCTGATAGTGTCTTTTGATGCACAAAATTTTAAAACTTTTATGAAGTTCAATTTATTATTTTTTTTTCTTTTGCTAACCCTAACCCTAACCTGTCGCTTTGGTGTCCTGAGAATAAATTGCAAATCCAGGAGGAAGAGAGAAGAGAGGCGCCTTGCAGGTGAAAAGTGCTTTACTACCCATCAGGAGAAAGGAAATTTTCCTCCTAAAGAGACAACAGCCCAGCCAACGAGAAGCCCCTCCCAGCTCTCCCCTTCCTCTGTAAAAAGAGCCTCCTTTTCCTCTGTTCTCAGGACTTGCCAATGGTTGGTTTTGCTGTGGCTTGTCTCGGGTTACAGGTCTCTGCTACTCCCAAATAAATCCATTTTTTGCTGGTAAAATAACTGGCAGTTGTATATTTTAAGGTTAACAATGACTTTTCTTAGGTTGGGGTAGTTTCCATCTATTCCTGGTTTGTTGAATGTCTTTATCATGAAAGCGTGTTGACTTTTGCCAAATGTTTTTCCTACATCAGTTGAGATGATCGTGTGTTTCCCCCCCTTTGTGCTGTTGCTGTGGAGTATCGTACTGATGACCTGCGTGTGCTGAACCATCCTTGCATTCCACGAATAAACTGCACTTGGTCGTGGTACATAATTTTTTGACATGCTTCTGAACTGGTTTGCTAGTATTTTATTTTATTGAGGACTTTTGCACCAGTGCTCATAATAGATACTGGTCTGCGGTTCTCTTTTCTTCCAGTGTCTTTGTCTGGCTTCGTTGTCAGGGGAATGCTGGCCTCACAGAATGAGTTAGGAAGTGTTCCCTCTTCTTCAGTTTTTTGGAAAAGTTTAAGAAGCACTGGGATTCTTCTCTATGGTTTCTCTTTGTTGAGAGAATTTTGATCACTGGTTCAATCTCCTTGCTAGTTATAAATCTATTAAGATTTCCCATTTCCTCGTGATTTAGTCTTGGTAGGTTTGTTTCATTCTTTAGTTTTTATCTAAATTCCAGTTAGTTACCATGCAGTTAACTAACGATATAGCAATCCAGTCTGGTAGGTTCTGTGTTTCCAGGAATTTGCCCATTTCACCTTAGTTACCCGTTTGTTGGCATATAATTGTTCACAGTACTCTTATCATCATTTTTGTTTTTGTAGAATCAGCAGTAATGTCCCTCTTTCATTATGATTTCAGTAGTTTGAATCTTTCTTCTTTTTCTTAGCCCATCAAGCTAAAGGTTTGTCAAACTTGTTGATCTTTTCAAAAAACCAACTTTTGGTT